TAATAACAACCAAAACAGATTTTAGAAGGTTTCTAAAACTCATATTGCTCATGCCATTGGAAGGGTTCAGTTTCAGCAATTCTTTTCTGCAACCTGAGCATCTGGTATTTTCAAATTAGGCACCTTCTAAATTTGACTCATACATTATGGAAATCTGATGACACGAGGTTGGATAGGCTTGCTTTGATTTTATGAAATATTAATCATAGCTGTGATTAATGATTCAGCATTTCACATCTGGGTTATTCCTGTCATATTTGAAAATTACACTATTAAATACAGTATATAAACTTAGTATAGGTGGGGTCATACTAATTCTCTCGTGTCCCTTAAAAATTAAGTGGAAACTTAACAATGTATGAAAAACGACCCACGATACTATGTGATGTTGACAGTTCCTGGCATATTTTGTACCCTTAAGGACTTTTTGATGTAAATTATTGCACATCTCTTCAGGGAGTTAAAGCGATAGAATCCACTTTCCAGAGAACTATTGTCTCTAACTAACTACATTGAAATCCCAACTGTGGGTTTACTCAGTAGAAAGAAAGATTAAATAGAGATGGTGCACTAATAAAATTGTTTCAGTTATTTGACTCTTGAATGTTGTATCCTACCCTTGCCTTGCTATCATTTCTTAAACATCATTACAAAGCAGTACTAGGTCCTGATATAGCGATGTGGGATAATGCAGTGGACCGCAAGTTTGGTGGTTCAAACTCACCATCTGCTCCTCAGAAATCCTAGGGTTGTTATGAGTCAGAACTGACTCGATGGCACTTAACAACAAGTACTTTCTATATTCCTATTTATAGAAATAATGAGAGGGCTTCCAAAATTTTTGTGGAAAATGGAATGACAAAGATAATGGAATTCTTCCAGGAACTCATTGAAGCCCTTGCATATGGGGCGTTTTACTAAGTACTACTTAATCTGATGGCTTATAACTTTCAAATGGAAAGCATTTGCCTTAAGTGAGCAGAATTTACCTTATTTAACTTTTTATGGGTTGTTTTCTCATATTCCTTATTGATTTATTGTTATTTTACTTGCACCACTTAAAATTATTATGGATCTAAGTGTAACACTCGAAGGTAATGGCATAATGAAAAATTTATTTTTAGTATACAATTAGAGTAAAAATTGCCCAAAAGTCAGAGGAAAATGATGATGACTTTAGCAACCAAACTTTGACTTGCAATCTGTTCATACTAACTGGTGAGTTATTGTTACTGTCTCAGTTATTCAGAACATTAAATAGAACCTTACAAGCAAGGGAGAATACTACATTACTATTATTATTCTCTTGGGTTTGTTGTTGTTAAGTGCCGTCCAGTTGATTCCGCCCATAGTGACCCTGTATAGGGTTTCCAAGGAGCAGCTGGTGAGCTTAAACCACCAACCTTGCAGTTTAAACGACTTTGCAGTCTGACGCATTAGCCCACAGTGCCACATCAGGCCTCCTCGCTTGGGTTTACAGGAGCTTAATTAGTTTTGAGGAGTCCTGGTGTGGCGCTGTGGGTTAATGCTCCAGACTGCAAAGCCATTTGAACTGCAAGGACGGTGGTTCAAGCTGACCAGTTGCTCCTTGGAAACCCTATATAGGGTTGCTGTGGGTTGGCACCGACTCGATGGCACTTAACAACAACAACAAATTAGTTTTGAAAGCTGACATCTCTGACTTTTGCACCCTCAGAATTTCAAGATCAGGATCAGGCCACTAGAACACCACCCAGTCTGGGAATCTCGGTCCAGCTGAGATTCTAGATGGACAGTACAATGTCATTGTGTTGTCCACTTCATACAAATAGGGGAGCATTTATTTTGTAGGGTTTTGTTATGTGTTTTGCCAATTCAGGGCATCAGAATTGCCTTCTAGAAACAGAGATGCTGACATACTATCAAGTTAGAGTAATAATCCAGTGTCTTTTAAAAATGATTTAAACAAACTGGACTTGGCATTTCTTGGGAGACAGATTGCAAACAGGAGTTAAATTCATTTAAATTCTATGTGGTGGATGGTCACATTATTTCTTGCTTTCTTTAGGGTAGGTAGACAGTTGGTTTTGTTTTTTTTTTTGAACTGTGAGATGCATTCTTATACTCTTAGAGCGGATGGCTCTGTACTTTAGATATAGTATGGACACTGAGATTCTTTACTCCTTTGGTCCCTTTGCTAGGATGTTTTCAACCTTTCATTTACATCACTTGGTGTCATGGTTAGAAACAGGAAGCACCCTCAGAAGTTTCTATCTAGAAAATGTTGAGTAGGACCTAGAATTACATTTCTCACCAGTTCTAGGCTTTCATGCTAGATGCTGCTGGTCTGGGGACTGCACCTGTAGAAATATTCACCTAGAATAAGTTTAGCTCATTCTAGCTTCAGATAGGGAGCACAGTAGCTTTGTAGGATAAGCAGTGGACTGCAAACTACAAGATTGGAGGTTTGAGCCCACCAGCCACTCCCTGGGAGAAAGATGAGGCTTTCTGTTCCCGAAAAGATTGAAGTCCTCGGAAACCCTACACAGGGTTGCTATGACTTGAAACCAACTTGACAGCACTAAACAACAACAGCAGCAGCTTCAGATGTAAGTGTGTTTTGCTCAATGTTACATTTCAAATCCTCGTGGCCACTGGTAGGAGTCTATATAGTTCACCCTCAAGTTTCACAGCATCAAATATAAGCACTGGAAGCTAACTACAAGTTCAACACTTCAAACCCATCAGCCCCTTCACTGGAGAAAGATGAGGCTGTCTTCTATGAATTGGAATTGATTTGGTAGCAGTGGTTTTGGTGTTTGGGGTTGTAATATTTAGCAAGTACTACTGCTATGTTCTCTGTTTCTTTTCTTTCTATTTTCTGAGCCATCAATTCTGCTTCCTTCAATATAAAGAAAAGTTTCTGAGTCTCACATCTCACCAGCCAAAAGGAATAAATGTCTACCTCCGTACCTCACTGAGAAGTTTGAACTCACTGGGTATAATATCAGTTCTTCTACCTGTATTTATGTTCCTGAGAGTCAGAGGCTCACTCTTCACATCCTAATATTGTTTTTTTCCCTAGAAGAGAAATGGATTCGTGAGATACAGATGTTACAGGCTAAAAATACGAAAATAGAAGCACTGGTAAATACAAAGAGGATGGCTCAGGGACATGTCTCTGAAAACAAACGGTTACAATTAACATTGTGGTGGAATGTGGCCGTCTAATCAGAACCAACGAGAAATTCCTCCCCCCCTTGAAAGTATTACTACTTGAGATACGGATTATTTGTCTCTATCAGTAGTAGCACGTTGTATGTTAAGACATTAGCTAATGATATTGGGCCCTGTTGTGATTAACAAGAAAAAAATACCATTCATAGATTATCTTTAGCTCATCACTGTAAAATTTCTATTTTAAGTATTTTTGTATATCAGTTCAAATTTTGCTTATGTGTAAAATATAAATGTACTGACTATGAGCGCTGAAAAATCTGTTTACTCAGGCAAAAAGAAATTGGGAGATCATTGTATTATTCTGGTTGTTATAATCTCGTTTCCTGGAAAATGTGTTTTACTGATAGTCCTAACCCCTATTGTAAGGAGCTCTGGTAGCGTAGTGGTTACGAATTGGGCTGTTAACCTCAAAGTCAGCAATTCAAAACTACCAGCTGTTCCATGGGAGAAACATGAGGCGTTCTGCTCCGATAAAAATTTACAGCCTCGGAAACCCTGTGCAGGGTCACTCACTGTGAGTTGGAACCAACTCCATAGTACTTAACAACAACAACATGGTTAGATTATTGCTTTTTACAAGTCCTGACAAAGTGGCAAACTTTCCCTTACATGTATTGCAATTTTACATTTGGTGAATTTGTTAGAAAGTAAATTAAATTAATAGCAAGACATTGATTAGTGAAAAATAAGTACAAAACTTTTTAGAATATGTCACATATTGTTAATTACAACTCATAGCAACCATGTATAGGGTTTCTGAGGAGCTGCTGATGGGTTTCAACTACCATTGTGGTTAGCCTATAGCACCACATATTATGTTAACATAGATAAATAGTTCAGCTGTAACTATCATAACCTTTATTGGTTCATTTTCTAGGTTTAGCATGTATATTGCTATATAAAGTATAATTATCAAGGGAAATATTTGCACTTGCTTGTGGAAATGTAGTTTGTAGTTTGTAGTTGGGGTTTTGTTTTTGTTTTTTTTATTACTCACTGAAGTAGAGTTGTAAAAGAGTGTATTTTAAAGAACATTAAAGAAAAGTGTGCTTCTGTGTATGATACTGAATTCTCATTGACGGCCTCGGAAACCCTGTACAGGGTTGCTATAGGTCAGAACCGACTCAATGGCACTTAACAACAACAACAACAACCATCCTTTAATTTGGATGTGAATTGCAAGGGGTATCCCCTGCTTTTCAGAATTTCCCTTTATGCCACTTTGAAGGATTTTCAGTTTTAGGAAACTCGGCTAAAAGTTCATCATTTGTTTGGCAGTGCCTCGTTACAGAGGCAGCGAAGTACCCTGAGCACTCGGCATCAGGCATCATGGCTTTAAACTGTGTTTGTGAGCATGACATGTTAGTGTTATTGTAGACTTTATGTGTTATTAGGTATCATTTGGTAGTTATTTTTTAGGTCACAAAAAGTTCAGACATTTTTCTTATATACAAGTATTTGCAGCTTCGCTTTATGGCATTCTGACTTATGAAGTGTTTCCTAGGAACTCTCTGTTTTCATTTAGTGGGTGAAAACTGTAGTACTGTTTAAAAGCATTTTCACTGCTATTTCCTCTGCAGCTGGAAGATTTCAGAAGCCCACTTTAGAAATAAAAGATATTCACAGGGAAATATATAAAGTAAGAAGAGACTTCTAAAAGTTCATGGAAATATTGGTTTAAAAGAGACTAGAATTTTCCCACGAACTTTTTGAAGCCCCTTCATATATCATAAGTAATGTTGTACAGTTTCACTTTAGCATACGTATTTTATTTGCCATAGGAAGCATATGGAAAGCTGCTAGATACAGAAAAACGTCAAAATCAGTTGCAAGCCAAAGGCCTAATTCTGGAAAAAAATAAAACCAAGTAAGTTCTTTTTATTACATTAAAATATGTGTAAATTTTGAACTAAAAACATGATGCATACCATTACTATTTTTTTAGGCATACCAAAAGACTAAAATTTGTTCCTTGTTTATGCATCAGTCATTAAAGTTAGGGCTCAGAGTAATGGGAAGAAGCATGTGTTAAAAGTTATTAGTTTTTGGTTACTTCATTCTAGATTTATGTATTAAATGATACTTAATTCCTCTATTCAAATACGGTTTCTGCAGAATTTTTATATGTATAACTGCATATTTCTTTAGCATTTGCAAGCTTTAATATTCTTGGTTATTTACTGATTTAGCTTCCATTTGACAGTGATCGATTCAGGTGATTCCATCAGCTTAAGTAACCAATTTGAAATTTAGGTCATGTTACTCATTTTTCTTCTTGTGCCAGAAGCACAGGCTTTGAACAGACCTTGTCGAAGCACTTGACCTAAAGATCAGTTGGAACCACAAGGTCAAGTCCTCACTTACCAGCCGTTCCTCTCGGAAACCCTATACAGGATTGCTGAGTCAGAACCAACTTGATAGTACTTGACAACAACAAAAACAACCCTTAGCTTTTTTATTTGTAACTTATTACTACTTGCGTTCACTGAGGAGCCCTAGTGGTACAGGGGTTAAAGCATTTGACTGCTAACCTAAAAGGCCAGCGGTTTGAGTGCACTGGCCATACCATGGGAGAAAGACGAGAAAGTCCACTTCTGTGAAGATTTATATCACTGGATAGCCTGTGGGCTAGTTTTGCTCTGTCATACAAGGTTGCTTTGTGCCCACATAGACTCAACAGCAGAGAGTTTTGGGTCAATTTGCTGACAAGTTAACCTTGTGTCCATAACAGCTCTTTGAAATAAATTATTGAAAAAGAGGCATAATTTTTATTACTAGGAAATTGGGTAGGTTCTAATATCGTATGAATTCCACAATGGCATATTTAACTTTTCTGACAAAATACTTGCTAGACTGAGTATGTTTTCTCAAGTAGATCGAGGAAATGGAATAATATTTCTGGGAAAAGAGTTTACGTGAATTAAGTTGTACCATTAGATCTTATAGAAATGTGTTTCTGAATCATAAATCGTTACTATATATGGGATCTTTTGTAATACAATTCTAATTGCATAGTTAATTAAAAAGAGAGTATATGTGATATTTTAACAGAGACCTGATTGGCAGCAGATGGCTGATTAAGGAGGAACTAGAAGAAATGTTAGTGGAAAAACTGTCAGATCAAGATGTGAGTAATTAATCTTTTTAATTTAAGGGGACCTGTGCCATAAGAATGTAGACAATTTCTGTTTTAGGATCCTAATAATAATGTTCCTCAGAGGCAGGTGTTCTTAAGACAATTTTTCCTTTTTTTTAAAAAAAAGCAAAAGCACATTTATCATTGATTTCCGCCATGGTAAGATCCTATCTGTGGTCATGAAAGTGACATGCCTATTCCCCAGCTACTCCTTTTATAAGTGCCCTGCTGTCCTCTGCCAGTTGTTTTAGGGGAGTGCGGCAGATGTCTAGTTTCATCTCCTCCACTAAAGCACATAGCTCATTTTATAAGCTAATGATAAGTATACGGAGCTGTTAACAGGTTAAGTAGCAAAGGGATGCAGCACATGGGTTACCATTCTGTAATTTGCTGCTTCCTGCCTTACCACATCTGCATATCTGTCAGGTCATTGTTTTCCATCCTGGGATCTGCCAAACCACCTGTATCAGAATCCTTTGGAATGTTGATTGAAAACTGCAGTTTCCTACACTTCTCCCCAGGCCTGGCTCTGAATCGCTAGGAATTCTAGAAATCCATATACATTTTACCAAGCTTTCCAGGTGACTCTTTACCTACCAGTTTGTGACACCCTGCCTTCAGTCTTCATTGTAGCCTTATTTTGTTAAATGTTTGAATTTTGTTGTTGTTGTTAAGTGCTGTTGAATCGATTCTGACTCATAGCGACCCTGTATAGGGTTTCCAAGGAATGGCTGGTGAGCTTGAAGCACCGACCTTGTGGTTCAAATGACTTTACAGTCCAGTGCATTAACCCGCAGCACCACACTAAGACGCCAAATATTCGAATAGATCCCATATTATCAGAGAAAACTTGATGCTTAAAATATTTGGATGTTTTAAATTTAGGTTCGTATCTGAAAGATTTGAGTGTAGATTTGCTTCTTCTGTGGCAGGGGCTAATATTGTTAGTGCCGTGCCATGCCACCAACTAAAGGGTGAGTCACATATTTAAATTTGCTCATTTTCTTACCAAACCTAGTGGAGACATTAATGATTTGGAAAAATATACTTTGGTTAGCAGAGGTGTCAGGCATTTGGAGAGACCCAGTGTTCAGCTGGAGTCATGGTGTGGCAACTGTGGGTTAATGGGTCAGACTGTAGAGCCGCTTGAACTGTAAGGTCGGAGGTTCAAGCTCACCACCCAATCCTGGGAAACCCTATACAGGGTCCCTATGGGTAGGAACCAACTCGATGGCAGTTCACAACAACGGTTAATTTATAATACCCTTGCTGCCAAGTTAGGGTTACTGCACTTGGGCCTAACGGAAAATATCTCTTTCCTTCTTCAATAGAAGCAGCATTTAATTGGTTCTTCTGTTTTCTGGCTACTTTGATTTTTATAATATAGATGGGGGGCGGGGTTGTTTACGCTTTGGAAACCATTTAAGGATTCAGTACAGGTAAGTTTTTAAAACTATTTCTATCTATCTATGATAATCCTCTGTACTTTGGGGTATTGGATGTCAGAAGAAGTACTGAAGATTATTGCTAGGATCAAAATGGAATGCAGTGGTGGTCAGTGACTTCTTACCCCCAGGTTCCAAGGGTAGTCAGAGAGGTGTGTGGGAGGTGGAGACTAGAGAGCAGCTGAGAAGAGAGAGACTGGAAGAGGAGTGAGGAGTGAGCATGCTGTTAGATGGCTAAGTATTTCACCCTTACCAAGATCATTGCCTTATCTTTGTAATATCCCAGAAAACTGTATTTGAAGCAGTTCTTTTCATTTCCGTCTTACTGGTAGGATTTTTATAGATGGCAGTTTTCTCCCTCCCAACCAGGTCAGGCAGGCCTTGGTGGCAGCCGGTCTTACTGTTTTGTGTATTGTGAAGAATAGACCATATTTTAGATGAAAGTTTACACAGCAAATTACATTCTCCTTTGTCAGTTTTTATACAGTCTTCCATCCCATTGTTTACTATTTTCATAATGTGTCAGCCTTCTCATTATTTCCATTCTGTTTGTTCTGTTTCCATTGCTCTAGCTGCCTTGCTTCTGCTTTCATCCTCATCTTTGCCTTTGTGTAACTGTTGACCATTTGGTCTCATGTAGTTCATTGTTTCACAGACCATGGTAACTCACAGGTGACATTGTTTATTTTATAAGCCTATCTATTATTTATAGGAGCTCTGGTAGCGTAGTGGTTACGAATCGGGCTGCGAACCACAAGGTCAGCAGTTCGAAACTACCAGTTGTTCCGCAGGAGAAAGACAAGGCATTCAGCTCCCATAAAGATTTAAAGCCTTGGAAACCCTGTACAGGGCCGCTATGAGTTGGAACCGACTCCACGGCACATAACAACAACAACAACAACAACAAACATCTATTATTTGGCTGAAATTTGTCTTAACAGAAATAGCTTCCATTCCAAGTTTGAAGTTATTATTATCTGTAGGGTGATAGTCCCAGGGATTCCTCTAGTCTCTGTTTCTATCAAAGGTCTGGCCTTTTTTAGGGATTTGAAGTTTGTTCTACACGTTTCTTCCATTTTATATGAGACCTTCATTTGTTTCCATGGTCAAAATGGTCAGTAGTGGTAGTCGGGTGCTATATATTTCAAATTACTAGTGGCAGATTTTTGCTATAAAGGCAGTAAATAGTTTGATCTTGTTCTTGTTGTGCCGTCGAGTCAATTCCGACCCATAGCGACCCTGTATAGTATTTCCAAGGAGCAGCTGGTGAGCTTGAACAAAACATAAGTTTTATCCAAAACTGGATTTCACATTAACTAGGGATCTCAAGTATTAGTTGTTTCCTTCTGCAGAAACACTTTAAAATGATTATTCTAGTTTCTAATTTTAAGGGGTTAATACCAAGTTGTTTACTTTGTAATCACATGTTCAAGAACTATTAAAAAAAATGCACAGAGTAGCAAGGATAATTTATTTCAAGAGGTTGCCCTTTAAGTCAAGTATCTCTTGAATTTTTAAATAGCTTGATTGTTCAGTTTTAAAGGAAATCATAAACATTTAAAGTAACACAGCTTGAACAGCCAAAGATATATTTGCCAAATGTATTATGAAATGTCATTCAAGAGGCACATTTTCTCAAAATCAAACTCTCTCCATCTCACTATACATAACTTACTGGAAATTAATTATAAAGCTCCTTGATACCGTCTAATAGGAATGTGAAAATTAAATTCATTTTCAAAAAAATTATATTTGGATGATTTCAAATCATCCAAATATTGTTTGAAAATGAATTTAAATCTCAGTTTCATATAATCATAATAGAGAGGAACTGATTTTTTTCCTGAATGATAAGTTTCTTTGTTTCTTGAAAGAAAGGATTTGATACTAAAGACGTTCAGGGACAGTGACGCATCTGCATGCTGTTTTAAAAGCAGCATGAAGATGCACAAGTGTCACCCTGTCACAAGTCATCAAGAAAAGCAACATTGGAAAGATCAAGTCTGTAAAAATAGAAAAAAACTTAGCAAATGCAATTACACTTGCATCTTGTAATGAATTTTTATTGTCCGCAGTACACGCAGTTCATTCGGCTGCTAGAAAGATTGTTGACATTGCAGTGTGGTGCTGCAGAAGAGGAATTTGTACAGAGGTTTCGCAGAAGTATAACTATTCAGTCCAAAAAACAGCTGATTGAACCTTTGCAGTATGATGAGCAAGGAGCAGCCTTCAGCACAAGTGAAGGTAATGGCATTCTGTGGAGAGAAGACTAAGTCAGTGAAGCTTGAGAAACTACAGTTATTTTTATTTGCAGCTGCTCCCTGGTATTTATTGGATGTCTTTTGTTAGCTTGCTTAGTTTTGCTACAGCTCTCTGGGATTTCCTATTCTATTGATGTTCTTAAAAACAGAACCTTACAGTGTCCCCCGGGGAAAAAGTGTGGATACATACCTGTATGAACTTACCAACCCTTTTTGTTTCCACATGTTATTTATATTAATGTTTTTAGTTTCACACTTTCAATTGATGGAATTGATAAAAGCGTATAGTAAAGAGTTGTTCTAGAAACTGAAGGCACACAGTGAACGTTGTGTGTCAGACGTAAAAGCTGTGAAACTTGGGATAACTTTTCAGGCCATCAACTTACATCTGTCTTAGACAAAGACATTTCACATGGGAGATCATTTCAGAATTGACCTACTAAATGATATATCTACCCAATTACATTTTAGCATAGCACACATATCTACAAAAGAAGACGACCATATAAAAAAATTTTCAAGTAAGTATAAATAAATATGAATTACTTTGTTGGTTGCTGAAACTAATTTTAAATCACATTGATATCCTTAAAGTGGAATTAAAGAATAAAATGTTACCTTAGTAGGCTCTATTGCATCTATTGTGGCATAGTTTACCTGTTTTATTTTGGTTCAGCTTAGGCTAGTTACAGAACTTTAAATGTATAATGTTCTCTACTGTTAATCTAGAAAAAAAACTTTCTAATAGGAATTTCCTGTTAAATTTTTTAAGGGAAAAGAAAGAGTGCAAAAGCAGAAGCAGTTGTTTATGAACATGGAAGTGGAAAAATAAAAGTCAATGGAATTGATTATTTGCTTTACTTCCCAGTGACACAGGACAGGTTTGTTCTTTTATTTTTATTTTATTTTTTGCTTTGCATTTGGAAGAAAATATACTTTATAATACACAATGATCAATGTTTTAAAAGCTTGTGATATTTTTCATTATATTTATCTGATTGACATTTTAAAATTTCTTGTAACCAATACAATTTGTCATACTAATGGAATAAGGTATTAGTTTTAATATGGCAGTTATATAGATACATACTTGATTGATTTATTTTTACTTTGGATCCTTTGAGAGTACAAACTCCTTAAGAGATTGATGAATTTGAATTATGGTGTTGGAAAAGAATGTTGAAAGTACCATGACCTGCCAGAAGAACAAACAAATTCATCTTGGAAGAAGTACAGCCAGAATGCTCTTTATATGCCAGGATGGTAAAATATATTGTCAGGAGGGACCAGTCCCTGGAAAAGGACATCATGCTTGGTAAACCTGGAGGGTCAACAAAAAAGAGGAAGACCCTCAATGAGATGGATTGATAAAAAGTGGCAGGGCTCAAATCTAAAAACAATTGTGAGGGTGGCACAGGACTAGACAGTTTCCATTCTGTTGTGCATAGGGTCACTATGAATCAGAACCAACTTGCCAGCTCCTAACAACAATCCTATGAGGAAATAACTTTGAACATAAATAGGCATGACTTTTCCTAATTCTTTAGTATACTCATCGTAGATCATTATGTGAATTACTATAAAGGCCTCTTCTTGTGATAATGTTTTTTTTGTTAGGTAGTTTCTTCCTTCCTAATCCTTTCCTGTTTCTTAAAAGCAGTTTTTAAGGTCAAAGAACTAAAGAGAACCTTTTAAGCAGTGTACAGTAAGCGCTGGACTGCAAATGTCAAGAACCATGGTTCAAGCCCGCCAGACACTCCACAAGAGAATGATGAGGCTTTCGGCTCCCACAAAGATTTAAAAAGCCTCAGAAACCATATACAGGGTCGCTGTGAGTCCAAACACTTTGCAACAACAAGAAACAACATGTTGTGAGCTGCCATCTAGTCGGTATGGACTCATAGCGACCTTCTGAACATCAGAACGAAACACTGCCCAATCCTGGGCCAGCCTTACTACGGTTGCCACGCTTGTGTTCATCAATGCTAACACTGTGCCAATCCATCTCGTTGGGGGGGTCTTCCTCTTTTTCTCTGACCCTCCACCTTACCAAACATGATAACCTTCTCCAGCAACTGGTCCCTCCTGACAATATGTCTGAAGTATGA